AAAAAAAAAACTGCAATACACCAACAGTAAAAATTGAGACTGTAGAGAGACCAATACATATTCATAGTACCCAAGTATACCGAGATGACAAATATGACAGACATCACAACTAACTCAGCCTACCTACAAGGTGGGATTTTAAAACAATAATGTGATTAAGAATACGTTACAAACATTCACATAATGCAACAGTTTGCAAAACAACCTCTGACAAAAACTGCAATGGTCATAATCCCCGTCTATGTCCATCCATAAACTGCAGCAAGCGTTCAGGGCCTGGCCCACGGAGCAAATGTTGAGAGAGTGTCAGCATTCAGCAATGTGGAGGAATTCAGCTATACGATAGGAACGCAGAGTAAAACAACCCATGGGGGATGTAGTTCTACGTAGACCTATATAATCAACAATGGACATCAGTCTCCACTACTAATGAACTACAGTTCCCACAGTGTTGGTATCCAGAGAGCTGGAAAGGCCTAGAATGGCATCTGCTTAATCCTGGGGCTCAGATTTTAGCTACTGCCCAGAGCAGCGAGTTCTCCACTGGAGTAAAACACCACAACAAACACTCCCTCTAAGGCTTACAAAGAGGGCCGGGTGAGCGAAGAAACACGACACGAAAGGACACACATTTGCAATTTGTTTCAATTCAACTGCCCGAGATGTCATTGTCAAACTTGGTATATTCTTCTTGTGCTACTACACAGCTGATGCTCAGACAGAAATGTCAATAATGCCAGACAATATTGACATTGGTATCAGCTGACATTCTTACTGTCATAGTTGAGACATGAAGCCCCCTGGTCAGATATTAGTAGAGTATAATAGACACAGCTCAACAGGTAATGTGCATTGCTCAGCTGTGTCAATGCTCTCTCCACACCCATGACTCCCTGATGTTATTGTTTGTGGCAGTAGATACTGCACCACCTTTAAGATGACAGTAAATATTACATTACCATGAAAATGTAATTAAACTGAGACCGTTGATACATTAGTGCAAATCGTATATTTGCTATCTAACGTTAGCAGTTTGCCAAGTTCCAAACGGCTAAGAGTCTGCTGCAGTTATACGATTTGTGTAAACACGTTACATGACAACAATACGGCTGAGATGCCTAAATATCGTAAAACTGATTTAGACATTAGACACGACTTTCAGTAAAGACGGTTTGGTTGTGACAAAGTAGCCTTTTGAAGAGGTGGTTTTCGTCACAAAAAAGGTGATTTTTAGGTGAGCTATTAAATGCGTGCTATAGCGACACGTATTTTGTACAATACATATATCCGTCTGAGCGCGTATAAAACATGTCTGAAGTATGTTTAGCTGAGGAGGAGATGCCATCACACCTGTCCCCGTGTGTGACTGCAGCACATGGAAAGTTGGACCCCTCTCAACATGAACACTAGCTGCTCTCAATTGTAACAAATCAAGTTGACACAGTGGTGGTAGCTATCTGACCGAAAGAGGCGAAGGATGGACAAAAAAAAAAACTGGTTTATTTGTCAACAGACTCCCTAAAATGAGAGTTTCGCGGGGGAAAGTATTATCTATACGTATCGAAACTTAGCCGAGGGACGGATAGGAGTTAATTTACATGATTTTGGAAAAGTGACGTAATTGCACCACAACTACGAAATGGCAGATAGTTAGCTGGCCGTGAACGTCCCTGGGTTTACGGGCACCTTCCATTTGCTGTGGCTGCAAAGCTGTTGGTAGAGCCGCAAACTTGTGATGGGTGTTTGCGAGACGACAGCACCGTTCGAGGCCGTCGTCGCTTCCACCCCGAACTAGGCCGTGGTCACAGCCTGCGCTGCATAAATAAAACATTTCACCCGCTCAGCGTGAACAATTGCTCGTGTCTCACTACATATTACCGATATCAAACACTGCGTAAGCAACTGAACTGGCAATAGGTGTTGTTGGATTGGAGAGATGGTTTATTTTACGTAATTTCAGCGGCCTGGGAGGGGGTGGTTGCCAACTGCGAGCTAATTCGCTAGCTAGCAGCCAGCTCGCGCTAAGAGAGGAATGTTACCTAGCTCTGGTTAGGCTTAGCTAACTAGCTTAGCTTTAGCGTAGCTACCTCTGAAACCTCGTCTTCGTCGCTGCCGGATCCTGGACCCGAGGAGAGGACGGCCGCGGCCGCCAGTTTGAAATCCAGTCTTTCTGCTGCAGGCCCACCTGGTTCGCCGTATAAACGTACTTTCTTTCCACCTACACCAATCCCAATGCCCCCTAGTCCGACTCCTCCTGGTGTCGCTCCTACCCCCATCCCTGCCACTGGGGAGCGAGGAGTCACCGAGTCAATCTCGTCCTCGAAGCCGTCCGTCAGCATTGCCGTCCCGGCTACTGCATCCTGCATACTTATGTTCACGATACTTGTGTTCACGAGCTAGTCGTTGACATAAACGTCCGTCCAGGCTCTTTGTTTTAGGATATTTACGTGATTTTACTTCAGGGAATCCAGAAACTCTCCCGAAGCGAGGGTTGAGGAGGATCTCTTTCCCCCAGCCATTAACTTTCTAACAACCTAACCCGATACGCACTGTTTCTTAGAACGACCGCCTCTGTAGGAAATCCTGATCACCCTATTGGCTGAGCAGGAAAAAACTCGGTTTTCTGTTGGTCAAAGTTAAAGCCTGTCAAATATGAGACCGCAACGTCATGTTAGGTTTACCAATATCACGAGGCTGTAGAACGAACGTCAAGATATGACATGGTAGGCCAACTTAACTGGTAGCTAGCTTTACTAGTTCATCTAAACTCTTATTGGGAAATCACGTATATGTAAGAGCTAATGTGAGAGTTAATAGGCACCTTTTTTACATTTTAATTATCCATTTATTTTACTTTAAATGCCAATGAATATCATTAACTGAACCTCACATATTACATAAGATGTATTTTATGGCTTTAATTAGTTTATGAGCATAAATAAGATTATAATTAGAAGAAACAGAGGAGGACATTTTAAGGGGCATTGATATAAGACAAAACATAAACCTGCACACAGAAAAACAAGAAAAAAAACATTGGTCACTTTGGACCATGATGACATTTGTAATCTGAAATTAATTGTTTACATGGATGTTTTACTGCAAATACAAAAACACATAATCCCTTGATATCCTTTGACCTATTGTGTATGCTGAGATGACTTAGGCACGTAATAGAGACAAAAACACACATGGCTTTGACTTCACCCACGAAAATCAAGACTTTTATTTCCAAACCATTTAAATAGTTCTATTCAACAAAGTTTCTAGAATGCCTTTCCTCTTTTTATGTTATTATTACTTATATGTGTTGTATTATGTAAGAAAACAGTATCTGTTGAAATTAGGTGTTTTTCATTGATGGAACACTTTTTTAAATTGAACTCCAGTTGTTGTGTATTCAAAAAGTGTCGGATCTCATTGTAAATGTGTCTGGTTCCCTCCTATGATGCATTTGCACAAAAATTAATATGTCATTGAATTCCATGAGACTAAAAACACAAGAGAACACAAATTCTGCTTTTTGCAATATAACATAAAGTAAACTGTTACATTGACACTGTTTGATTATCTTAATAAAGTTATTTTTAACATCGCGCATTTCAAATTCATGAACCAGTTCTGGAAGATCTATCTGGATTCTTAACTTCTGTAATAAGCAGCAATATTGCATCATAAACATATCCCACAAGAACTCCTGAAGTTCAAAGTTTGCTCATCTAAAAGTAAACATGTATTACTTAAACTGTACCTCAGAATCAAAAGTAAATGCACTGTAGAATGGGGCAATAATGATTCATTAATAATGGTCAAGTAGTATTTTAAAGGACACTTGTTATGCTCATTTCCATGTTCATACTTGTATATTGTATTTCTGCAAAAACATGTTTACATGTCAATGCTCAAAAAACTCATACATCATATTTTATGACTTATTGCAAAGTAACTAGTAAGAGTAGAAAGTACTAAATTTCCCAATGATGTTTATTTAGAATATATACAAAAAAACTAAAATAATACTCAAGACAAGTACCATTACTTCAAAAATATATTTAATTACTTTACTTTAGTTCATTTAATTTATTTAACTTTCAATTTGTTGCTTTCTGAGAAAGGCCGACACGACACAAAGTAATTTCTGGAGGTCATTATTATTATAGTGTCCTGCCACTGGCCACTAAACATCTTCTCTAAAGCAGGGGGAGGCAACATGCCTTGCTAAGGGGCACTTCTGACGTTGCTGAAGGAAGGGAAACCTCTCCTGCATCAAACCTTTCAGATGATCCACTGATTTCAACAAGTGACCTATGTGTGGTTTGCTTTTATTACTTTTTGGCTGCCACCACCCAAACCAACATCTTTGATTAGCTGGTTGTTTAAGGATGTGAGAGCTGATCGTTCAGTCACATTTCTCACCAAAACCAACACCCAAGGCTAAACAAGCTTATGCTAACTAGGCTACTGTTGCATTTTTAGTTGACTGAGCTCCATTTGCCTTTGTTGTGAAACGTAACCTATGAAGGACACATATTCTCCCTTAGAATAATGTTAAAGGCATTACAAGTTAGAGACCACTGTAGTCAGAATAACTTATACTTGAAGGCCTGGCCAGCAGATGCACCCGGCCAGCCAGGGCCTCGGGCGGCAACGTCATTATTTTTGGGCGTGGACGCAAGCAAGACGGAGGGCGATTGGTTGTCTAGCCGGTTGCCAAGTATGTACAAAATTCCACATTTTCTGTCAACTTTAACCTTCTTATAGGCAGTCTATGATTTTAACCATATTTGAACAAATAACAGCATATTTAGCAAACTTGAGATCGTTGGAATTTGATACAATTCTAAACACAGCAAGATACTAATATTGGTAATAGTAATATTCGAAAAGTGTGATGATGTTGAATAACGTGATTGTGATGCATTTTGTAACAGAGGCGATGCTTAGTTAAATCAGGCTTTTTGTAGTCTCTGAAAGGGGGTTAGTTCTAGAGGTCTGGCAACCCAGCGCAAGGTTTCAGCTGCATCACGTCGGTCTGGTCATACATACTCCGGCGTGTGGTATCTACGTTTGTATCAGGTACATTCATTTTAGGTATATATCGTTATAAATCGCCTTGCCTAAATACAACGTCAACTTCGCATGCTCTAATAGCACAACATAGCTACCGGTGTGTATATTATATTATAATTTTATACCGTTAGTTAGCTAATGCTAGCGCGAGAGCTAGCTAACAGTTAACGCTAATAACATGGCGCCGGGTGAAAGGGCCGCTTTTGTTCTTGTGTCTGGGTGCGGTGGTGAGCGTGCTGTGGGCCACGCGCATCCTGTCGATAATGAATGAAATACTAATTACAGATTCATAATGTGGCTTCTGCGAACTCTTATAAATGTATAGAAACGCTTCAACACCAGAAATGTTGGCGGAAGGAAGTAACGTAGCTACATATTATGTTGCTAAAGTTAGCTGGTCACGCTAACCACTCCACGTTCGCGCTTTTTATGAAGTAGTCGTCTTTTTTTAACGGGAAAGTGTTGGAAAAACAAAGCAATTCTGATAATTGATTGCGATTTATATTTGTAGATAATACCATTCTTTGTTGCACGGTAAAGCCCAATGATAGACTTTTTATGTACTATATACTTGCTAGCAGTATCAAACTGTCTGTAGATGGCGCTGCTAACTAATGCTAAAGCACGTTTAACGGTACGGAGGCCCATGCGACTCGCATCAAGGACGACGCGTCTATTGATTTATTCTTTTGGTACATTTTAGAAGGTACATTTGATTAAAGTAGTGTCTGCAATGTGTACACGTTTCTTAGTTCTGGTGTAAATGCATTATCTATATATTAGTATGTGCTATTGTCTCATACTTGTAATGATATTGGAGTATTTTTCTTCAGGGATTGTGACATGGCTGATGAGGGATATGTAGTACGCATCAGGGGGCTCCCTTGGTCCTGCTCAGTGGATGAAGTACAGAGGTTTTTCTCCGGTAGGTATTTATATCATTTTTTATATCGAAGTATTTCTGTAATTAATGCATTTACAATAGATTTGATAATGTACATTACATATGCAGAGTGCAAAATCATCACCAATGGAGGCGGCATTCACTTCACCTACACAAGAGAGGGGCGTCCCAGCGGAGAGGCATTCGTCGAAATGGAGACCGAGGAAGATCTGAAGATTGCAGTGAAGAAGGACCGAGAAACTATGGGTCACAGATATGTCGAGGGTGTGTGAAACTGCTTACAGATAATGACTAAATTGTCTAAACTTTGTGATGTGATGACTGACTGTTGTACATCCTGTGATACAGTTTTTAAATCCAACAATGTCGAGATGGACTGGGTCATGAAGCACACCGGTCCAAACTGTCCAGAAACGGCAGGAGATGGGCTCGTCCGGCTCCGAGGTCTTCCTTTTGGCTGCAGCAAGGAGGAGATAGTACAGTTTTTCTCAGGTAAAAATAAACCTAGCTCAGCGGATAGTTGTAAAACTTCCTCAATGTAGAGTTGGTTTCCTTTTTATTTCTTTTCTCCATCTTCCTTTTCTCGTTTCCTTTCTGCTATGGACACTTACCAATTCTTGATTTTACAAAGAAGTCAAGATGCAATTAGAAAATGATTATAACTAATGTATAGTATTACATTATAGAACAGCAAACTTCATGTTTTTGAATTTGTGATCAGTGAGGAATTGACGCCAGAAAAGGAAGCTAGTTAGACTTTAAATGGAGGAATTATTTAAAGTTAAGCTCAGGGGCAGAATACTGTTATGCAAACACCCTTTCCCATCTTTGCTCATCATATCAATCATAAGCCCGTTTTAATCACTTTTTTTCTCTTTCATTGGGTCCGATGTTGTAAGGCGGCATAATCACATGTTTAAGTTGTCTGTGCCAACTGGTAATTTACTAATGATGGAATGGGTCCAACTCATCTCTGAGTAGACGGTCTCTTACCCCAGTATCATTGTTTCTCCCTCCCCCTCTCTCCCATTTACTCACACCCTTGTCTTTTTGAATGCATCATTCTTACACACACTGTTGAGCAAGTTTTAGATTAGTTCCTGCTGAGCCGTTAGTAATTTTAACTCATGTCACCCACCAGGATCTTTCTCTCTCTCCATCAACACACCAGTACTAGCCCGATGTCCCACACAGTGCCCCTTTCCATATTCTTCCTCTATCCTCTCATTTCTTTTTTTTATCCCCAAAATACAGTAAATATAAGTCGTTTAAATAGCCAGTCACTGGTTAAAAACTGAACTGGTATGTGTGATGATGTATAGAGTTTTCCATGAGTTTTCTATCTCTCTCTCTCTCTTTAGAGAAAGTTCTCTCTGTGATTGGGCATGTGATTTAATATGTCCCCTGCTGGGGTTATCTGTCCTTGGGTTGAAGGGTTGGAAATCGTGCCAAATGGGATAACATTGCCGGTGGACATCCAGGGGAGGAGTACGGGGGAGGCCTTCGTGCAGTTTGCTTCACAGGATATAGCTGAAAAGGCTCTAAAGAAACACAAGGAAAGAATAGGGCACAGGTGGGGATGGTTGGTTGGTTGGCTGGATACGTTGCTTTTCTTATGGTGTGCACCCTCAACATCTGAACCAAATGCAAATCGGACACTACATTAATCTTAGCTAATTCAAGCATATTTGTAATGTTAACCACAAACGCATACACAAATTGCAATGTTAGACTGAAATACGGCACACATTCACACTGTTCAATGGGAAGATTAGTGCTTGGGCACCATTCACAAGTACGACACGAGTCGCTAACAAGAGTACATGCTTAATTTTGAGAACAAATGGTGTCTCAGCACTAAACATCAGTCCAGGTTGATAACTGGTAAGGAGTCTCCCTGGTGGTAAAATCAGAGGGCCACTGTACACATGGATCTGGAGCCCACTGTCACAGGTAATGCTTAGAGTGAGTTGTGCAGAAGGGCTGGAGCCCTCTCTGTCCCTCTAAACCAGGACCATCGCTGTCATGGCAAGGACACAGGACGCTTTATTGAATCAGTTATGTAACTTAACTTCAGGTAACTATAAGAAAAGTGTAAACGTCAATAAGGCCCTCTTCAATCTGGAGCTTAATTTTTGCTACTCAGTTAATAAGTTCTTTTTTTATTTACTGTTATAACAACTAGCATCAAGCACTCAAAGATATTACTACCTATGGACTACACCATGACAGCATCTGCATAGCCCAGTTGCATCAGTGTTGAGCAAATGCAGCCTTGCCTGGGCTGGTTCATTCCCCGTGTCCTCATTGTGGTATCTCTATGCTCTCAGGTACATTGAGATCTTCAAGAGTAGCCGTGCTGAGGTGCGGACCCATTACGAACCCCAGCGGAAGCCCATGGGCATGCAGAGACCCGGCCCCTATGACCGGCCCTCGGGTGGTCGCGGCTACAACATGATGAGCCGAGGGGGATCCTACGACAGAATGCGTCGCGGAGGCTACGGAGGAGGAGGTGGTGGAGGAGGAGGAGGTGGTGGAGGAGGAGGAGGTGGAGGAGGTGGAGGAGGAGGAGGAGGTGGGTGTCAAGTGGACTGAAATCTGATTTAGTAACAGTTTGCAATTGTTTCAGATAATCACTCGCCCTATATCCCTTCATGCCAACACTGCGCAATAGAATTAATGCGATTAAAATGTAGAGTCCTCATAAGATTGTGTTTTAATCTTGATTACGAATGTTTAGGTGTATCGGATGGACGATATGGTGATGGCGGCGGCGGTGGCAGCGGCTCTTCCTTCCAGAGCACAACAGGCCACTGTGTCCATATGAGGGGCCTGCCCTACAGAGCCACAGAGACGGACATCTACAATGTAAGTCGGAGGAACAGCTGCAAAACATCTGCATAACCACTGGATTGCTGAAACTGTCGTCCCTCTGTGCATATTGCAGATGTTCAGCTCATAATCTTACACTAATGTGTTCATGTCTTAGTTCTTCTCGCCATTGAATCCGGTGCGGGTCCATATTGAGATCGGCCCAGACGGCAGGGTAACCGGGGAGGCAGATGTAGAGTTTGCGACACACGAAGATGCCGTGGCCGCCATGTCCAAAGACAAAGCTAACATGCGTGAGTTTGAAGTTCGTGGTTTTAACCACTCCCACCCTGCGTATGAGCTTTCATAATGTTGGTTAATGGTTTCTCTCCCTGCACCCGCAGAGCACCGCTACGTGGAGCTGTTCTTGAACTCAACAGCAGGCGGAAGTAACGGAGCCTACAGCAGCCAGATGATGGGTGGCATGGGTGAGTTTCAGTCGTGGAGGTTGTGAGACTAGCGGCATTAGTTTGTTTGAGGGGGGAAATGCATGCACTAAACAGTACAGCGTCTATGTAATAGTTGGGATTCTGTAAGTCCTCCTGAACCGGATGTGGTCCGTCCTCTCTACAGGGAACCAGTCGTCTTACAGCGGTGGCCAGCTGAGCTCAGGGTACTCTGGTGGATACAGCAGCCAGGGCAATATGGGCGGCTACAGTGATTACAGTGAGTGTCAGCTGTGTTATAATAGGTTTCTTCTACATCCACACCAAAGGTCTACCTTTTCTGCTCTAATACCACTTATTTAATGCACTCTCAAGTATTACTATGCACCACAGCGAACCCTGAGAACAAAACGTTGGCCGTAGATTTGTTTTTGCATGAAATGACATTCATGCATCGTGTTTCTGTGTACGACTCCTTGAGGAACTCCTCGGTCCTATCGTTTGTATTCTCTCTCTTGTTAGGTAACCAGGGCGGAATGGGAAGCAGTTACTATGGCGGCGGAGGAGGAAGCAGAGGCTCTATGAACGGACTGAGCGGGGGATGGGGAATGTAGATTGTTTTCCTTAATTTGATGTTTTTTTTAAACTCAGCATTTTGCTGGAAGGACTGGAAATGCAAGTCTCACCTAGTAAACATAGGGTAGGGTCAGGTGATGAAAACATTGAGGGGGTAGGGTTTGTATTTTTTTTAAGTGGATGATCTTCAGAGAGAAGTGAGATCATCCGGTGTCACTAAGTGTCAGAAGCGCTGTTTGTCTTCCCCTTTGCTCACAGATTTAAATGTTCATTACAAGGAAGTGTGCTGTTTGTGTGTTATTGTTCTCCATAAAGCTGTCTGTCCCCCGAGGTTAACTCATCCTGTGCTGGTGGCGTTAACACTAGTTTCAATGTCTGAGTGCATGAACAAAACAAGAAATCAGAGCGTCTGGTATCTTCTGATGTTTAGACCTTGTTCCACCTCTACAGAGTGTTAAGACGTTAATCAGGTTTGTCGAGGGCGAATGAATTTCAAATCCGCTGACGTGAAGGTTTCTACTGCTTCAAATGCTATTTGTATTTCCTGTGCACAAAGTGAATAAACTAGTCTGGAATATCTAATTGAAACAAGTATTGCAAAAAAAAAAAGAGGCTTTATTCATTTATCAAATACCTAGATACAAAACTTTTGGTCACCATCCCCAAATTAATTCAGAAAAAGGCTTTGTAGCAGTTGACACGACACACAGCCCTGTGGTAAGAATACATTCTAAAATAGATTTCACATTCTACAGTCATTTATACAATGATTTTGCATAAATGCAGCAGTGGGGCCATAGCTGTAAAAATTGAGTAGATGCGTGATAAGTATGAATAATAAAGAAGTACAGGATCACAATGATCCTCAGTAACCAGTGTCTTTGCTGGGACCTAATCTAAAATCACGGTTTGAATTAGAAAAACTACACTTTAAAGGGTCAGTTTATCAAGTACCAAATTATTATTCCAGCCCAAAGAAACATGAATCACATAAATATCCTAAATTTCATCCTTTAAGTGAACTCAAGCCGCCTCCACATAGTATCCATAAACTATTAGCTCATCCCATCAGTGTTAAAAGGTGGCGCCCCTTATTTAATACGGTTGAACTAATGCTCCTGAATTTCAGGCAATGGTGTAAATGCACCAAATCACATTTCCATAAGATTTGATGACATTCTTCTGACACAAGTACTTAATAAAAACCATAGTGGGTGAGTATGTGCAGTGTTAGAACGCTCTTGTAGAGGGACATCACAGCTCGTGGATGTTCTGTCAGGAAGCTTTGGAGGAGCTTCTCTGCAGCAGGAGGGCGTGGCACACATCGCACACCCGCACAGGCCGGGGGTAGGACGGTAAGGCCAGCTCGTTGCTGGAGCAGGTGTTGCAGTAGATGTCTCCACAGTTTCTACAGTGGTGCTGCAACATACAAACACCTCATTGACGTTTGCTGCGAAGATGAATATTATAGAAGTACAACTAATATGAAAAAAAGAAGAGGCTACCTTTCTGCGTGCGATGGAGAACTCCTTCTCGCAGTGCTTGCATTGAGTGGCCTCATCGTCCTTCAGCCACGCGTGGCCCTGATGGCGGCAACGAACATACAAGATGGGACATGTCAGGATCTTTTATCAATTTTACAGCATCAATTGTACAAATACACCATTCTTCACATTGTACCTTCAGAGCTTTGTTGACCTCCTTGAAGTCCTCCATCGTGAGTTTAGACCTTTGACAGATGAAAGCAACACATAAACCTCATGAAATGGTACACGCTTTAACGAAGAAGACAAAAAGATGTTAAAAGGAGAAGTACTGACTGGCTGAGGTGCTGCCCCATCTCCTGCAGAGCCTGCTCCTGCTGCCCACATGTCTGCTGCAGCTGCCGCTTCTCGTGCTTCAAATCCTGCAGCTCCTGCACCGCCGGTTCACAACAAACAAGAACCAGAACATCACAAGACTGCACAGGATTAGCAAGTCTTTGCTTAGTCACTTTAGAAAGACCTAAATTGGATTAATGTTGTTTTGCTGAGTCTGTTGAACCAGTTGAACTACTGCAATTACGTAGCAAATATTGATTCAGTACATATGGCATATTCAAACAGAAACCACTCTTGAACTGCAGCATCTAATGCAAATAACACATGAATTAAAGTCATGATAAAGAAGCCCTTTTGTCAAGTGGTTGTTTTGTGCCTGTGTGTGGAGGTTATACAAACTATTCTCCTCAGTTCCTGGGAAATCAAATTGTACCGCACAAATTTATGAAGACTTCTGCATCGGGAATTTAGACACCATGTATAATCCTCTCACACCGTTTTTCATTATTTGAAAAGAAGACTCCACTTCCAGAGCTGAATGACCCTAAACCCTGCTGGGTGAGTAAGTGAGACACTGACCGCGTGAAGGCCCTGGAGCTGTTGCAGCTGTGTGCGGAGCTCGGTGCTGTTGTCCTGCTCCTGCTGGAGAGCTTTCTGCAGGCTTTGTCTCTGTTCCCTCTCAGTGCGCAGCTCATTCTCCAAACCCAGCCTGAGAACAGAGGAGAGACAATTTAACAACAACCATCATAGCAAAATGTCAACTTATTTCTTCTTCAAAAAAATAAAACTGATTACTATTAATTTAGGAAAGATACGGTTAATTTGCATTTTGTGTAAAATGAAAATAGAGCACCTGAGGAAATCTGTGTCTGCTGCATCTGTCCCCTTCAAAGTGATGACAGAGTGCTACAGTGTGATACTTTAAACTGGTAACATTGTACCTGTCTATTGTATTTCATCGAGTACTGACAATATATTGGTATTTAAAAGTATTATTTAAAAAGCACTAATTTAAACAGAAAACAATGATATAAAGTCACATTAGTAACAAATTCAAAGTTATGAAAAACTGGAACGGTAGAATAAAGCACCTGGGGTATGCAGTGTGTGTATATATATATATATTAAAGGATGTGAGCTCCTCAGTCTGGCATTAACTCATGTTAGCCAAACTAGTGCAGTGTTTTAAATCTCATCTTGAGCAGAACTTTTATAGACTGGTGTTTCTGTGTTTTAATTTTGCCTTTTATTCCATGTGCAGTACATATTTAAAGTCATGTTGTGCTTCCGTGTAACGCCTTCTGTCGTAACCTGTGTGTGTCCAGGTCAGTCAGTTGTCTCTGCAAAGCGTCCACTTTTCCTTCCAGCTCCACCCTCATGTCTTTGTCCGACTGGTCACTTTGTTTGCGCTCTTGCTCAGAGTTCTGTAGTCTGTGTGAGGCACATAACAGCCAGGGAGAAGAATATTACTTTAAAAAAACGAATATAATTTTGAAAACAGACACATGCACAACACACACCTCTGCTCCATTTCCACCATGGCTCTCTCCATTTCATCCATCTTCTGCTCCAGCTGCACCGCCTCCGTCTGCTTTTTTTCTGCCACTCGTTGCGAATCCTTAAAAAGAGCCACAGGGGTTTGTATTAATGCGCGATCTGTCTGAGTGGCCGTGCGAGACAAAAGAAAAAAAGGGTGCATTCATGCGTGTCTACCTGAGCTTTGTGGAACATTTGCAGGTTAAGGGTCTTGACTTGGTCGAGCTGGAGCCGCAGGGCTGCCAGCGTGTCCTGTTTCTCATGCGTGTCCTTCTCCAGCAGCCTCATGGCCACCTCCATCTCCTGCTTCAGGCCCACCTGGAGCTCCAACTCACGCTCCAGCTCCTGCATATGCAAACACACAAAAGGCATGAGTCTAATCAGTGCAATAAAAACAGCAGTGTGGCTTAAGTTCCTGCTAACAGGAGACCATATGACTCATCACCACCCACACTGCTGGCTTCTGTCTAACTATGCATGAAGACTAATTGTTATTTGCCACATGCATGACGTATTCTAGTGCTTTATATAGCCGGTTGATACCTGACCTGGCGAATGCGCTTTTCCTCCTTATACTGCTTCCAAACCACGTTGTACATCTCATCCAGGCCCTGTCGAGTCTGTTTGTACGTCTCCAGCTCCACCTGGCTGTCCTGATGGGCTGACTGGACAAACGACAACAACACATTATACAGTTTGAGTGTTTTTTTTCTAGATTAGGAGTGATTTAGTTGCCGTTACTTGTTGTAGTTGCGTTCCGACCTCTTCCTTTTTCTGGCTGGACTGCAAGATCGTCTCATTCTCCTTTCTGAGCTGTTCCTGTTCTTCCCGCAGAGAGTTGATTCTGTCCGTCGCTGCTGTCAGCTGAGCAAAAACAAAACACACGCCGGTGACGCACGGCTCACGTACAAAGATGCTGTGTTGACATTAGAGGGGAATGGCTTCTTTTAAGACGATTGAAGCCTTCTTAAAATGTGTCACACACAACAGATCACACGCACAAAGAGAGAGTCTGACCTCCTCTACAAGTTTGCTGTTGGTCTTCTCTATAGAGTCCATCTTGGCCTGAAGGTCAGTGACGGTGCCACTCAGGTGACGATTTAACTCCTCAATGTAGTGCTTCTGATCTAATATGGCTGTCATCTTGGCATCACTGAAAGAGAAAGAATAAAGCAATTTAGGGGTTGAGCGTGCATTGGGTCGGTTCAAAACATGATAAACAGCAGCGAAGGCGAATCTGAAAAGCAGGCACTCACTCTTTTGGTGTCTCGCTGTGGGCAGTGTCTTTCAGATACAGGGAGAAGTCAATGACTCCCACCTGAACGGGGGGAAGAGAAAGTGATCACCGTGTGCGCTCGATGATTTGTCTCTCAAAAGAGACAAATGAGACGTGACAGCTGGGATGTGAAGGACCGCAAAAACCTAACCCACTCACCTGAGAATCCAGATCCTCCCCTTTTATACACAGGTTAGCGTCAATTACGTTAAGTCCCACCAGGAGCCCCCCAATCACCGCTCCCTCGTCCTCCACCATCAACGCTCCAGAGTCATAAAACTCACTAGGAGGAGCCAGACACAGAGGGGATTGGAAAAATAGTCAATTTAAATTGTGGGGGAATTAGCTGTTAACAGACGAATGAATTATTCTCAAATAAAAAAGCAGCTATGTTAAGCCCACCTAACTTATCATAGTTACTAACCTCAGGAGATCTTTGCGGTCCAGCAGAGCTTTCATATAGTCCGCTACTGTCTTCTGCATGAGCGCTAAATGCAGCCACGCCCTTCCTCTGCCCAAGCCGGTCCTTTAAAGAGAATTAAAAAGGAAAATGAATCCACC